CCGTGCGGCTCTGAGGACACTAACAGGTGGGAGCTCCTGCTGGTGGAGGTAAATCATGGTCCTCATGGCCCCGTCGCTGTAATCTACGCTTTGCACATCACGGTTTATTGTGCAGATTTCAGTGCAGTTTATGAGCAGAGGAGCCTGAGGACATCAGGTCATTTCCACAAAGATCTGCACATTCCAGCCTCCTTTCAGAAAACCTCTCATCGTACTGCAGCAGGTTGTGACGTTCCTCCCTTCGTACCAAGCAGCAATGATTGACGCGCATTATTAAATGACATCTTATTATGAACTATAACATGTAATAACGAGTGTAACCAAAAACGTGTCTCTCAAAGACGTTTTGTAGTGAAAAGTCAAATATGTGGTTGTGGTTGATGATTCCAGGAGGTGCAAGGAGACGTTTCTGAACTCCAGCGTTATTATAATAAAAGCACATGACCTCTGTGAAAGAGAAAGCAGCCGGTTTGACCTCGCTGGGTAAACACGGCAGAGGGAGATGATCTCATTAAGTTTAAAGTCCACAGAGAAGATCCACGGCGGAACGTTTATCTGGACCCGAGACACCTCCTGCTCCTTAATGAACTCTTAATTGATTAACGAGTCGACGCTGGTCGATCTAATGTGACTTTCATCAGACACACAAAGTGAAGCCTGAAGCTTCCACCTCAGGAATATTCCTCTACATGCTACGTGTTCTTCTGCGCTGCTGAGGACACGTTCCTCAGCGTCTTTTCCTAAAGCGAATCCATAAACATCCACTGAAATCCTTCTTGTTGAATGGAAGACTAGAGGTGAGGTGCTCAATACGCCTGGTTTCATAACACAATCACAACAACACAACCAGCCAAAGCTCCGTCACACGTGCTGCTGGTGGGTGTGGACTACACGCAACGTCTCGCAGCTCCACATCGTCTTATTATCACAACAAACCTCCCCCCTTCTTCCTCCTCCCCCACTCACCCGGTTGATCAGCTCGCCCACCATCCCGGTCCAGCTGCCGTTGGGTTCGGGGGCTCCGTACACCCTGTCGTCCACCAGCTTGATGGTGAAGGAGAACCTGAGGATGTGGGACAGCTCCCTCAGCATGTCCACGCAGAAGCCCTCGTAGCGCTCGTTACCGCCCAGCTGCTGGTAGTTGAGCTTACGCATCACGTACGGGCTTTCCTGTGCGAAGGGAAGTGACATCACACACCAAAGGGGGAGCGACACACACATCTTTACATATCTTCACTTCCACTTGTGCCAAACTACCAGGATGGTGGTGACGACCAGCGTCTTGTTGGCCAGCGTCTCTGACGCGTTGAGGTCCAGGGAGGTGGCGTTCATGACCAACGTGTTGTTGGAGTACCAGGTACCAATCTGTGCATGCAGGGGGAGGGAGGGGGAGTTAGTGGAGGTGAGGAGCAGAGGAAGAAGAGCAAAGGGTGGATCTAAAACCTGCCGACCAGCAGTGAACCTCAGCATTCATTCGTTTTATTTATTCACTCTGCAGAGAAACATCAGGAACATCGTGTGTCCTCCACGTTCTGGCTCTGCCGCCAAATGTTAACTCAACATCTCGACTTGACCTCTGACCTCTTTATGGCCCCCTGGGTGCTTCTCCAGGATCTTCAGGGTGTAATTGGTCCTCTGGCCTTTGCTGTTGAACTCGATGTGACCCGTCATACCGTCGTACTCCACCTGAGCAGACAGAGACCATTAAACGCCAGCTAGCAGAGCTGCTCCACAGATAATAGTTCATGTAACATTGTAACATTGATCGAGTTGCCACCAATTCATTTATTCATTGATTATGAATAAAAAAGAACACACAACACCGGTGAGTAATCGACCTCTGAGGAGATTATTAAGATGTGAGAGGACCGAAAGGAACCAGGAAACACAGCATTGAACCTCGTGTGGCAGAATGAAGCTGTGAACCCCAACGAGACCCAAAGACTCCAAACAGAAGAAGCTGCTCATCAACGGCCCTTTGTGTCCCAGTAGCCACAGAGCTAGCCGTTAGCAGCTAGCTCGTCAGTAAGGCATCGAGCTGCTCGGCCCCACGCTAAATGATGGCTGGACATCCGTCCTCTGCTGCTGGGACGCGTCCTTCAACAAGCAAAACGTAGCACTGAAATCCGGTTTCATGTTTGTAGAAGCTCAGACGGCTGAAATGTGACAATTATTGATTATTGATTCTGAAATGTTGAAGAGGAGTTGATAAGAAAACTAGAGCAGAAATGTACTGAAAGGTGATGTGATGCAGTTTGTGTGTGAGTCCGGCCGAAGCAAAGGCCACAAAACGGGTCGACTGAACCAGAACCAGCTGATGTCCTGATGAACATGTGACTGTGGCGTGAGAGGGTCATGAGATGGCCTCATTATTCCAAAGCAAGCTGCTTTACAGGTTTCCGTACCTGCAGACAACCCGTTTCCTCAGGTCAGATAAAAGCTTTAAGGTTAAGAATTCACAACACAAAGTGCCGCCGTGTTTCCTGTCAACAGTATGTTCAGGTCACAGCATGTTCAGGTCACAGTATGTTCAGGTCACAGTATGTTCAGGTCACAGTATGTTCAGGTCACAGTATGTTCAGGTCACAGCATGTTCAGGTCACAGTATGTTCAGGTCACAGCATGTTCAGGTCACAGCATGTTCAGGTCACAGCATGTTCAGGTCACAGTATGTTCAGGTCACAGTATGTTCAGGTCACAGCATGTTCAGGTCTGATCGAATGTTTACCATACGGAGGTAGTTCATGAGGCTGGTTCCGTGCTGCCAGATGAGCGGTGACGAGCAGCTCAGCGGCTTCACTCCGATCTCCTGACTGCGGTTCAGCTCCCGCACGGCGCTCACCACCACGTGGACCGCGTCGAACATCAGGGCCGAAGACAGCTGCAACAAAAGAAAAACAATACAATGAACCAGTCGCGAGGAGTCTTCTAAAGCCAAAGTCATCTTCAGGTGAGTCCACCAGCAGGTGACTCAGGTCCCTCGTTGACGGCCACATGACTGATGAAAGCTGGCGAGGACTCCTCTAGAGGCCCACAGCAGATAGAAACGGGATCAGGTTCTCTATGAGGGCATCATGGAGGTGGAGAGCATGGTGCAGGGCAGAAGCTTATCATCAGATTCACTCTCCTTTCAGCGCTGCTTTGGTCTCCACCACCTCTTTAGAGACTCAGTCGCTGTCTCATATACAAGCATGGAGACACAAACAGCGAAGCTAAAGACTTTGAGGCTTTGAGGATGTCGGATTGTGGCCGGACGGGTGGGTGGAGCGCTCGAGCTATCGGCGGCGCCGCGTAGCGCTCGGCCCGCCCATCAGAGTTTGGTCAGTTGTCAGTCAAACTGACACTCGGGGGGATCTGACATCCGTCTGTTGACGGCTGATAAGAGGAAAGACGGAGTTGATGGTTTCATGGCGACGAAAGCTAATTACGGTTTTGGAAAGCGACTGATTGACGGGGAGGAGACAGAGAAGAAGAACCCTTGAGCAGACGCACCGCGGTAATATCTGGTACCAGAGCGTCTCAGAGGGTTCAGAGAAGTGCTTCCATAGGATATGATCAGGAGGAGGTGAAAGATGGATCGGGGTTGTGTCCACATGGCCTGGCTGAAGTTCTGGACTGATGGCGGTCAGATGAAGGTGGGAACAGAGGAAGCGAATCCGGTCCGCGTGGCCGTTGTCGTGGTTGGATGGATTGATGGAGCTTTGCTGTCTGTAATCCGAATCCCTCGTGTTCTAAAGGAGCGTTTTCTTATTTGGCGCTCGGAGCGTAAATGAGTCAGATTGGCTTTGTCCTTTCTGGGCTCCCGTAGAAACCTTTTATTGCGTTTACACGCCAGCAGTTTGTTTGTTCATGACCATTTTTATGCCTTATGGGTCAAAGCGCTTGTTTTAATCATCGAGCCGGACTCAAATCGCTCAGACCTGGTGACAGCGATGCCCGTAACCATGGCGACTGGAGTCTGTCGGACGGAGCAGCAGGAGACGCGTGAGCTCTTATTTATTGTTAAATAGGCGTGTTGACAATCATCACAATGATAAACTGCTGTAATCAAACCGCCGTATTGATGCTCCGCTGGGCGCCGCGAGACATTAAAGAGGAGCAACAAATCCCGGCGGGACGACGCCTCCGGTGAGACAACCATCGTCCCTCTGTGAAGTCTGTTAAAGCCGCGGGTTTCGCCTCGCTGGTATCCGACGATGCAAAGACCACGTTGACGGGTCCTTTCATCACGCGGGAGGAGACGAGATGTTCCCTCACCTGCAGCGTTCTGTTCTTCTGTTTGCTGTATCAGAACAATGTGACGACTAAACGCCAGGATAGTTTAGCAACTGATGATCTGGAGCTTTTTGATAAATGTGAGGACACCAGTCATATTTAAATAAAAGGTCTGAAGAGATTCGTTTTTTCTGGTAAACCGTAAAATGGGTGAAGGGTGAGAAGACCCGGTGTGGATGTTAATGTCCGTCCCCCTCAGAGTGACACTCATGTTATTTACATGTGAAGGGGCGTGTCCTACCGCCGCTCCTGGGTACGGACTGACGTTGCAGCCCTCCTTCCACGACAGGTTGAGGCTGCGGATGAACTCCAGGTAGAAGGGATGGCTGACGTTCAGCATGGAGAAGCCCAGGATGTTGGACTGGTCGCCCACCACGTCCTCCAGCCGCAGCAGAGGGAAGTCCTGGGAGAGACAACGAGAGGGGGGGTCACGTCTCCGGTGATTCAGAGATTTGTTGAAGCAGCAAACGGAGGAAGAGTGAGTGAGGACACAAAGGACGGACACCCGGGACCTCCAGAGAACTTCTGCTAGTCCCTGAAGAGGAGCCTCACCGAGCGCTGAAACAAATCATGTGATGATGATGATGGTGGTGATGATGATCAGCATCGTGAGCTTCTCGCAGCACATCGCTGCAGGAGCTTTAAAGACGGACGCTTGGTCTCGTGCCTCCATGTCGCCTCGTCCCGTCTCAGTCAGCAAAGCGCGTTGGACACAAAGTCAAAGCGAGGGCGAGCACACTGCGGCCGGTGGGGTGGGGGGGCGTTTCGCTTCTGGTCGCTCTCCAGGGTTCCGCCCTTGTGAGCGGCGTTAAAGTGCGCATCACGCCGGCGCTTTTATTATCCGGCAGAGACAAGGGCGCGACAGAGGAATGATAATGATGACAAACAGCAGCCGGACCAGCATGCATCTGTGATGAGAGGAGACCAGGAGACGCTGGGGAGGAGATGTATGACGTGACCCACAAACACCCTTCAAGGTATAAAACATGAGCTGATATTAAATAGACAAAACGTGTGGTTTCCATGTTGTAAAGAAAAGAAGGAAAAGAACAGAAAGAGCAGGAAAGAAATGACAGTAAAGGAGAAGAAGATGGAAGGTGTCAGACGAGAGGACGGGGGAGTGAACGGCAGAGGGGTGAGTACCTCTGTGACCAGGAGGAGAGGAGTGCAGCGTAATGGAGGACGAGTGGACAGGAGCTCTTACCATGGTGGTGAGGATGTACTTGTAGAAGGCCGACATCATCCCCAGCTCGTTGGCCTGCAGGTCAGAGGAGAGGAAGCACCTTGAAACAGGAAGTGCTCCTCCTCACACCTTCCCTCAAGCACCGGACCTACATCCTCTACCTGCTCTCTGTCATGCTAATGCTAATGCTAATGCTACACCGCACCATGTGGAGTATTACGGGTCAGAAATGAAGGTACTCAGTATACACATTACATATTATTGTGAGTTTATCTTCAGACTGCTTTTATTTTGTGAACTGTACCCGGATATCAAAGGCTTATGATGATTATATGTTGTATCATTTACCAGAATCTGCTGTTATTGAATACGAGCGGTGGAGGTCAAAGTTCCTCCGACATCTAGTGGAGTGAACTAAAGTGAACTTCACCTCATCGAGCGATGCTGTGGTTACCGTGGTGATTTCTAACCCTGAGGTTCAGTGATGCTGAACCCGGAGACTATCGCTGGATAACCTTTGACCCCCTGACCTTCCTGAGGATGTGGTAGGAGATGGAGGCGTTGGCGTCGATGATGATGGTGGCCACTTTGTCGTCGCGGATCTCCTTCAGCAGGGGGGTGGGGTCCAGGCTGTCGTCCAGCATCCGCACCGACAGCGTGTCCCTGGAGATGAGGAAGCGGTGGACCAGCTCCTCCAGTCGCAGGAGACCTAGAAGGGGACAGGAGTCAGGAATCAGGAAGCTCACAGATCAATTGACAGTGGGGGTCGGTTGGGACGCCATACGGCGAGTTCTTCACCGTCGGCGTGTTAGAATGAATGAATGAAAGAATCAAAGTCATCGGTTTCAGTTCTTCACCGTGAGACATTTTTATTCGATATCAACTCGCCGAAGGGAAACCGATAAATGTTCCTAATATCAAGTGATAATAATAAGATGACCACACACAGACGCACACAGACACACACAGACGCACACTCTGCCTTGGCGCACAGCAGGCTGGCCGTGGGGAAGCCGAAGGAGCGCAGGATGGAGCCGACGGCCAGGCTCAGGTCCTCGTTGCTCGGGTAAAGGGTCACCGATGCGAAGCGAAGGTACGGCAGCTTCGGCGTTTCCTCCGGGCCGATCTTCACGTGAGGGATCTGAGGGGAGGAAGAGGAAGAGGAAGAGGAGTCATACATGTGGGTTCCAGGGCTTCTCTCGTTGGATGGACACAAAGGAATGAAGGAGAGGAAATGGGAATAGAACCAAAACGAGAAGAAAAGGAAATGAAATAAATAAATTGAAGGATTGAAAAGGGAGGAAGCAGATGTTTTCATCAGAGCTCACAGCCTCCTTTACCTCCTCACGCTCAGATAACAGAAAAGATTTAATCAGTCTGTCGCGCTGATCGTCGAGTCTTTGTTCACTTTCACAAAGAATATGTGAAGTGGGAGCAAAGCGCAGACGGACAGAGATTGAAAAGGCTTCCAGGAGAGTTGTGTTCACCTCTGAATGAAACATTCATATCAGAGGATTCATGAAGCTTTTCAAGAGGGGAAAAAGCACCTGGAGACATTTTGAGGATTTTACTTCAGAAGCTCGAATGAATGTGGTTCCTCCTCTGCGAAGCATGAATGAACATTTGGTTTTGTTGTTTTGTTATTTTCATGAACTTTTCTTTGAATTATTAATTCGACCATCTAATAACAGATTGTCACCATAATGTTAATTTCTTGGCTGATGCAATTTGATGTCACTAATCTTTCCTGTTCTGAAGTATTTTATTTGTGCTTCAATGTGCTGTCGGCTTTGTGAGCGAACGAAAGGTTAAATAAATATTAAAATGAAGTAACAATCGGCTCAAATTGTGTAGAATAAATATTGGTGTATCGGTAACGGTTCTTAGCTTCCAGCCTGCGTGAGGACATCTGTGTGTCTCGGTGGTCCAGAGGTGATCGGACCGATACACGGCCCGGGAGGCCGAGGCCCCTTCGGGTCCGTTTCCTTTGCTTCAGGCTCTGATGGTCTCCTGGTCTCCTTGTGCGCTTCTGTACGCCAGCGAGTGTGACACACGTTATCATCACGCGTTATCATCACGCGTCATCATCTGCTTCTCAGCCCGAGGTCCGACCCGCACAGCTTCACGCGCTCATATGTGGAGCTTATATTCTAAACCCAACAACGTCCCCGAGACGAGACCAAGGAAGACGGAGACGGACTGAAGAAGAACCGAGGTGTCCAACGAGGAGCCGGGTGGGACTCACCTCTTTTTCCCCACAGATGTGACTGATGGTGGAGCCGGAGGCGGGGCTGGAGGCGGGGCCAATCACAGAGACGATACCCTTCGGGAGGATCTGACACACTGAGAGAGGAAAAACGACACATTTAATAATAATTCCTTTTTCAAAATGTGTTTTTTGCTATTCTGGGGAAACAATCACTGAACACATCAAACAGATATAATTTCCTACAACATTTTAATTCATGTTTGTGTATTTTCTCTCTCTTGCAGCGTTTGGGTCTCCACCACCTCCTCCCTTCCGCCGCTAAACGCTCCACTTGGTTCACCACCTGGTCTCAAGCGCAGGAAGTCGACTCTTATTCTGAAAGCGACCCAATGACCTAATTATATTTATATATAATGTATTTTTTTTAAAAATCAACCAAAAGCATAAATCGCCGTCGTATCATTTGATGATTAAAATGATGAAATGATAAAATATTGTTTGCAAGCACTTTAAAGTGAAGGTCATATATTTTTGTTCGTGGTGCGAGCTGGAGTCTGCAAACCACCTCAAACAAACCCAGCAAATACTGCTGCATTACTTATTTGTGCACGGCTCTAATTGAATGATTAAAGAGAAGGAATTGGGTCCAGTGTGTCGACTTGTTATTCTGTCTCTCGTTGTCCTCAGAGGACACGATACCCGCTGCCCAGTCAGCAGCTTGTTGTGTGCGTTTCATATTGTTCTCTGAAAGAAACACGCAAATCCCAACATGTAGAACCGCGTTAAAAACCTTTGCTTTGCTTGGCTGGTTAAATGGCGCCTTCAAGGTGATTTTATTGCTGTGAAATATTATAATGTAAATGTATTTAATTATTCATTTTTATTTTTTTACAGTTTTACAGGTTTGGAAGTGGATGAAAACACTTTAACGTCACCCTTTGGTTTCTGGACTTTGAGGCCATTAAGTCTTAAGAGGACCATTAAGGACCAGAATTCACTAGATGAACATCATGATGTGTTGAAGAAGACGTGAAACTGAGACCATAAACTCATGTTTACAATGTTTACTGAGGGAATAAATCAAGAGAGAAGTAGAGTCATTTCCTCATAGACGTCTATGGGAGCAGAGGAGTCGCCCCCTGCTGGTCACTACAGAGAAGTAGAGTCATTTCCTCATAGACGTCTATGGGAGCAGAGGAGTCGCCCCCTGCTGGTCACTACAGAGAAGTAGAGTCATTTCCTCATAGACGTCTATGGGAGCAGAGGAGTCGCCCCCTGCTGGTCACTACAGAGAAGTAGAGTCATTTCCTCATAGACGTCTATGGGAGCAGAGGAGTCGCCCCCTGCTGGTCACTACAGAGAAGTAGAGTCATTTCCTCATAGACGTCTATGGGAGCAGAGGAGTCGCCCCCTGCTGGTCACTACAGAGAAGTAGAGTCATTTCCTCATAGACGTCTATGGGAGCAGAGGAGTCGCCCCCTGCTGGTCACTACAGAGAAGTAGAGTCATTTCCTCATAGACGTCTATGGGAGCAGAGGAGTCGCCCCCTGCTGGTCACTACAGAGAAGTAGAGTCATTTCCTCATAGACGTCTATGGGAGCAGAGGAGTCGCCCCCTGCTGGTCACTACAGAGAAGTAGAGTCATTTCCTCATAGACGTCTATGGGAGCAGAGGAGTCGCCCCCTGCTGGTCACTACAGAGAAGCAGAGTCATTTCCTCATAGACGTCTATGGGAGCAGAGGAGTCGCCCCCTGCTGGTCACTACACAGAAAATAGATGAAATTGTTCGTTATGATGATGATTATATGATGATATCGTCTAACAAAGGCCGTTATATTGTCACTCATTCATCAACACCTACTGGTATCAGTGGTGTCGTAGTGGGAGTCCTTCAGCAGCTCGTAGACGTCCACCTCCACCCTCGCCCGGGAGGAGCCCTCCATCAGGCTGTTGATGTTCTCCCTCGCCAGACCCAGCGCCAGTCGCTCGCCACGGCCGCAGGCTGACTGGTCGTCTAGAATGGCCGCTTGAGGGAGAGGGGGGGAGGAGGGGGGAAGAGGGGGGAGGAGCAGCGTGAGAAAGCAAGAAGGGGTTTCGCTTCAAGTTTGATTTAAAGATTTAAATGGATGATTAAAACCATAATTACAGTGTTTATAGCATCACATGAACTGATTAAATGTCTCATTCTTTTCAAAATGGTTCATTCCTCTGGATTAAACCATCTCCAGCAAACGCTGAGTTTTCATCCTGGCTCGTATCTGACTCTTCATATTTGCCCCTTGTTTCAGTAGTTATTAGCAGGAAGGATTTAACACTGGTTGCTGGAGCATTAGCAGCACTAATATGCACCTCCTCCTCCCAGAGACACTCATCCGTCCCCTCAGTCGCCATCTAAAGGTGACTTCGTTTAGGACGGACGACAACACAGGAAATGGGATTCAGGATTCAGGGTCATTGCGACAGATAATCGGGTCACGATTTATCATGTTCCCTCTCTTCCGGAGGGGTCATGTGATCGGGCCGTGACCAATCAGGGAAGGACACGTTGTGACGCTGGTCGTGACTACTTCCTGGATGGGTGAGCGTGGTTCTGAATGGGTTCTCCCTCTGTAGATGGATGGTACGGTCCTGCTCTCCAGAGGGTGGACCAGCTGTTCAGAGAGATAAACTGAGGCATCGCAGTGCTTTCTGCTCCATGCGGGGGGGGGGGGGGGGCGCCCACTGTGCGTGCGTGTGACTCCGCCCCCCGCCGTCTCGCCCACCTGTGTGGTGTCAGCACAAGAGGACACAGCAGGTGAGCAGCGATAAGTGGGGACGGAGACGGATCCACGTCCTCGGTGTTCCTCGTCAGTTCAATGGTTAAAACAAACATGGATCGATTGCTCTGCTTAGCGTTGCCCCACAGCTCACAGGAACATGGCGTCCTCTTCATGACCATTGAAAGTCGCTCCACGCTTTGCATGTTCCATAACGCAGGCCGTCTGTAGGGAAACATATTATTTATCCTCTGAGATGCGGAGCAGGAGGCGCGCAGGTGAGGGGCGATGAAGATAAAGAGTCTTCCTCGGAGAATTACCTGTGAGTTCTCAGAGCCAGTCAGTCTGGGGACAGAGCGTCACTATAAAGGAGTCGCGTGCCACGTAAAACGTTTACACACCCCGATATGATCATTTCAACACGTAAACAATCCTGTCTCTTCAGTTATTTATGAACGTGGAGCCACATGTGTTCATTCTGATTTAAATGACTTTAGCTGGTAAAATGAACACTGTATTTACATTGTATCAACACACAGACGACAGAGGTGGACATCGGACCACTGATTGGTTGGACCAATGGCCGCTATTGGACATTAATGCAACGTTGTTTGTTTGTCTTTGTTTCTTGAAACAGCATTTATGGGGAATTATGATGAACAAGATGAAACTTGTGTTTCCTGCTGTCCCTGTTTCTGATTGGTCGGTTGAATCACATGATGCGCTTTATTCATCCCACGCAGTGAAATATTCATATTGTTGATTTTGTAGATTAAATCTCTGCCTGTCTGACTGACATCTCAGTGGATCCGCCCACTTTCTGAAAATCAAACCCGACATGATTAAACTTCTCTTTCTGGGAAAGATTCTCCTTCACGGGACCCGACTGTTAACTTTGAGACTCCGTGTTAACGTCCACTTTGACTGCAGGAACCTCGGCGTGACGTCAACAGCCGACTCTCCCTGACTCCGACATCACTGACAACACCATCCTGTGATGGTGTTCCTCCTCACTGAGAGCAAAACACTCCACTAGATCTCCACTCTTTGCTGTCCTGCTCCTAAATGGTGGAAGGAGGTCTCTGAAGACATCAGGACCACAGAGAGCCTTCACATCTTCAGACTAAAGACACACCTCTTCAGACTCTACCTCCACTAACACACTAACTAACTGCAGCACTTACATTGGACTTATAATGGTTCTTATCTACAGCAAGAAATTGCACTTTCTTGTTTCTTGTTCTTCTGAGTTTGTGTCCTTATGGTTGAAATGTTCTTATTGTAAGTCGCTTTGGATAAAAGCGTCAGATAAATGACATGTGATGTAATGTGATGTGATGTCATGTGATGTAATGTGATGTAATGTAGACAAGGCCTGTGTTATATTCGGGGTGTTTAGCAGAGATGTGGAAGTGGCGCTTTTCTCAGAGGTCTTTCACAATAAAAGCCAATGGAGGGTTTGTTTTCCCAGGTTCTTCTCTGCTTCTCTCCAGATCCTTTTCTTACCTCATAATTCATTGGTTGTGTGCTGCGATGTGTTTGACCTTTGGCTTGCAGCCAGTGGCTTTAGAGGTCGCAACAAACCTGACAAAGATTTAAATTCCGTTTGTCTTTTCCCGCAAAATGAGACACTGGCCCTTTCAAATAAAAAGTGACATGTTCGCTTACAAAGTGACTGCAGGCCAGAATTAGAACACATCTGAATCCCTTTTGCAGAGGATTGATGTGGCGGACCCCCTGTGGTGACACGCCGGCTCTCCGCTTACGCTCACTGATGAGCTAACGACTTAGCAGTGACGGATGACTCGTGGGGCGCTGAAGGACACGCATGATGCTGAATACTTAAACAATCACTTCCACATTAATGCACCTGATATTTATGTTGGGCTGCTTTCATTCTAGACGCCAAAGAACAGGGTGGAATAAATAACCGGAACAGAAAAAAAGAGATTAAAATACTCATTCATGTTCAAGAAAAGACGGTTAAATACCGTTACGCCTGAATGCGATTACGGGGATGACATGTTAAACCAATGTGATGAGGAAAGCTTCCATAACGCGCTCCTTGGTGTCACCTTAAGGGTGTCATCCTTCTTCATTCCCAACTGTTGCCTACGATAAGGTTCCCCTCAGGGATATATAACTATAACTTTATATATAAATATAAATATATAACTATAACTATATATATAACAATTTATATAACTATATAACTATAGCTATATATAAAAATATAACTATATAACTATAACTATATATATAAATATATAACTATATATATAACTATAACTATATATAAAAATATAACTATATAACTATAACTATATATATAAATATATAACTATAACTATATATATAAATATATAACTATATATAACTATAACTATATATATACATATATAACTATATATATAACTATTTATATAACTTTATATATAAATATAAATATATAACTATAACTATATATATAAATATATAACTATATATATAACAATTTATATAACTATATAACTATAGCTATATATAAAAATATAACTATATAACTATAACTATATATATAAATATATAACTATAACTATATATATAAATATATAACTATATATATAACTATTTATATAACTATATCTAATAATATAACTATATATATATAGTTTTATATGTATATTTTTTTTTTCCTTACTTCGATTGTTAGTTCAGACTTTGACTCAAACTGATGAGTGAGGGACTCGTCATCGTTCTCGTCTCCACTGGCATCAGCGTCTCTCTACACTTTGTGGTTACGGCCGGAGACAATAACAGTAAATAACAATAGAGGCTCTAACTGGAGTCTGATCTCATCCAGGTCGCTTCTCAGCGTGACGGAGGTTAATCTGCTTGTCACACGTACGTGACTGAAACCTGCAGCCGAGCTCTTCCTGCTTCGGGGTCTGACTGCTGCTCGTGTGAAGTGCTGCTCGTGTGAAGTGCTGCTCGTGTGAAGTGTTTGGTTTAGAGGAACAACGACGGTCCTGAATCACATCTCTGTAAACACAACTGTTGTTGGTTTGTCGTCGTGGTTCCGAGCTCGGCGGCCAGGCGGTGCCGGTAAACGGGGGGATCGTCGGGGTCCCGCCGCTGGGCACCGAGGCCTCAGACGGCTGCAAGTCCGTCACCGCCGCGCTTTGATGACAGAAGTGAGGATGTGTTTGGAGCCGAGCGGGTCGGTGAAGGAAACGTTCAGGAGCTTCTGAACCCAAACAAACGCACACAAAAAGGACGTTTACAACAAATAACCCTGAAAACCTTCCTGTAAAATATCTTCACCAAATCAATGGATCACCACATGTGGATTCATCCGCCGCAGGAAAGAGTTCCTCGCTTTGACCCGCAATGAATATTTACATCTTCATCTTTCATCTTCAATGAGTTTGGAGATGAGAAGCTGAGGAGCAACTGTTCACATGTGCTCATGGCTTTAGTTTTCATTAAGAAAACCACTACGGGGATAAAAGGTTCACATATTTATTTGTTTGTCCTCCTGAAGAGCAGCGAACAGACTCCCCTCGTCTTCTGTCTACTGGGAAGGTCAAAGTTTGACCTTTCACCGGGACTCATCACACACAGTGTGTGTGTGTGCGTGTGTGTGTGTGTGTGTGTGGAGCAGTCAGCTGTTGGTAATTGAGTAGTGAAAGGTGGCCCAGTATCCATCACCAGGCCCACCGGTTGCCATGGCAGCCGGCAGGTAAGTCGGGTCACATGGTCTGCGTGACAGAAGCGACGGGGAATAAAAACACATCATCACAGAACTTTTACTTCCAATGTTAAGTCCCTGCTTTCATTCAGCTGATAGCAGAGTGGCATCATGGGGGGAAGAGGAGGAGGAAGAGGAAGAGTGGGTGTCTTTATGTTTATGTGTGTGTGTTTTCATTCATGGAGAGAATATATTTACCTTCTCTTTAGGACCTTTCCCTGGCTGTGATCGGCCAGATCGGTGGACTAAAGAGTCCCAAGTTGGACCCCTGCTTGGTTATGAGGTTCTAATTAAGTCAAGACCGGCGGGTCCCACAGAGTCGTGACCAATGAGTCCCAACCGGGTTTTAGACCAACGAGTTCCATCAAGTTCTAAACGGCAAACATCAGATTAAAGGTCGAGACCATGAGTTCAAATCAGGTTTTTCTTCAAACAGAGTTGCAATTAGGTTTTGAATCCAGAACAGGGAGTTTTTAGTCGACTCCCTCCAGCCCCCATCGCGTACCACGTGAGGATGAATGAGGTCCAATCAGGTCCAATCCAATGTGCGCCCGCTTTGTTTGGGGACCAGCGGTCTTCAGTAGGAGTCCTCCCGTTAGCAGGACCCTCCAATCTTACCTTGAACACAAACCGTTCTAAAAGCCGCCGGACTCCAGGATCCAAACCTGCACCCGGTGCCGGTACTCACCCATGCGGACGGCGGAGAGGACGCTGGTCTGGCCCAGGGAGGGCGGGGCCACGGTCAGCAGCGGGACGGCCACGTGAATCCACAGCAGCAGTGCTGGCAGAGCCGGCATCTTCCACTGCTCCTCATGGAGAACGGTCTGCTGGCTGCCTGCAGCGCCCCCTGCAGGACAGGAGGAGGTCTTACTGTCACGCGGCGATGCACAGCTGATCACTTTGAATCAGCTTTATCAGCATTATTACAACCTGTGAGTGCAATGACCAACATTTGATTCAGCTGCTTCACAAACACACGAGCAGACTGCATTCTCTCTACGGACCCCCGGGGGGCGACGCCTCCGTTTGCACGTGGAGATTAGAGACCCTGAGGGACGAGCTGGGGACGAGGACGGACAAGAGATGAAGACAGAAGAGCAAAGACTGAGAGACTCAGAGAGAATCTGAGGGACCAGTCCAAATGTGCCGAGTGGATCCGACCAGAGGGACATTTAGTCAGTAGCTTGTGTGTGTGTGTGTGTGTGTGTGTGTGTGTGTGTGTGTGTGTATGTGTGTGTGTGTGTGTGTGTGTGTGTGTGTGTGTGTGTGTGTGTGTGTATGTGTGTGTGTGTGTGTGTGTGTGGTCTGAATGTTAATCTAAATGAGTGCAAACTGACTGTTGCTTTAAACCAAACTGAATGATTTGAGTCCATTGAACAAGTAGTTGGACGAGGACACAAAAGGACTGAAGCAAACGTCTGAGGCAGAATCACAACAGACACAAGAATTAAAAAGAAAAGACGCTGTGAGTGACAGGAAGTCGGACAGAAGGAGACGTGATGCTGAGAAACAAACAATCAGGCTTTTTCCTGCAGGAGGCTCAGAGCCATCAGAGTGGGCGGAGCCACTCACAGCGAGAGGGGCGGAGCTCCGAGTTCCACTTTATCCGCAATGAATATTTACATCTTCATCTTTCATCTTCAATGAGTTTGGAGATGAGAAGCTGAGGAGCAACTGTTCACATGTGCTCATGGCTTTAGTTTTCATTAAGAAAACCACTGAGGGATAAAAGGTTCACATATTTATTTGTTTGTCCTCCTGAAGAGCAGCGAACAGACTCCCCTCGTCTTCTGTCTACTGGGAAGGTCAAAGTTTGACCTTTCACCGGGACACTCACACACCTACAGGCCATTTAGTCCCCAACCAACCTGATCCCCAGAGCAGGTCTCTGGACTGTGGGAGGAAGCCGGAGAACCCGGAGAGAACCCACGCATACAAGGAGAGAACGCGCAGACACAGGGAGAACATGCAGACACGGGGAGGGAGAACGCGCACACACGGGGAGAACATGCAGACACGGGGAGAACGCGCAGACACAGGGAGAACATGCAGACACGGGGAGAACGCGCATACACGGGGAGAACATGCAGACACGGGGAGGGAGAACGCGCACACACGGGGAGAACGCGCACACACGGGGAGAACAAAGAGGGACACAGACGCGATGCAGACACGGGGAGAACGCGCATACACGGGGAGAACATGCAGACACGGGGAGGGAGAACGCGCACACACGGGGAGAACGCGCACACACGGGGAGAACGCGCACACACGGGGAGAACGCGCACACACGGGGAGAACGCGCGAGGTACAAACAAGCCGCACTGAGGTGAAAGCGCAGACTTCCTGTCGTGGGAACTGAAAAGGTCCAATCGTGCATGTGAGCATTGACAGGAAGGTTGCAGCGGATGCATAAAGTGCCTAATTATGTATTCTGCAGTGTGTCCATCATACTGCGCCTCCTTTTCTCAGAGCCCCCGGGTTCCTTCCCTCATCAGCCAGACGCTGGACAACAAGGGTCACACACCTCCCCACTGATGATAACACATCACCTCCGTTTTGGCTGGTTTGACTTCGGCTCACCCAGGATGGAACGAGAGACGGAGTTGCAAAGTGTGCGTTTAAATCCCAATGAGCGACATTGTGGGCGGAGAAATCGTGCTGATGAGCTGATGAGCTGCAGGTATCACCTGATGGTGCTACGTCATGGACGTACGCGTGTGACGCCGGACAGGACTTTCCCCAGAGCCTGTTTACTGACACGTTGGCCGGGACATGAATGCACATCATAAGTGAGACGTCCACTGGCCAAGGACATCAGGGACCCTTTTCTCTGACGTGTGTCCACGATGAACTTCCCAACATGCACCTAGAGATCATAGAGGAGAGCCTTCTACTGTCAGTCAGTCTCTACGTCCATCAGCAACCTGGAACTTCAGTCTCAACTGTGATCTTCATCTGACTGTGTTTGTCGTCTGCATAATCATTTCATATGTGGTTGTTGATGATGTGGTGAACGGTAGGATGTGATCACATGAAACAAAGCGGGCGGACGTACCGGATCTCCGTGATAAAGGTGGAAGTAAATGAGTATCTTTTAACTGGTTTAACTCAACGGGGGATGAGAGGCGGCTTCTCATTGGTTCTCAGTCACAGTTCATACGTTCACAAACTGTTCATCTAATACGCTGCAGTCAGACATCCCTCAACATGTCAAATGGATTAAATGGGATAAAGCTCCCGATCTTTAAGAAGAAGAAGACAAACGTTGACTCGCACACTGATGAACACGCTGAGCTGCTTTTCCCACACAAATCAAATAATGCACATTTTTGTTGTGCGTCATTGTGGACACAAACGTCCAGGCGTGTAAAGAGACACTAATATCAAACACAAATCATATCTGACTTGACGAGGACAGAGGACAAGGACAGAGGACAAGGAGTCAAGGCGGAGAGGAGGAGTCAGGGAGGAGAGGAGAGGAGGAGTCAGGGAGGAGAGGAGGAGTCAGGGAGGAGAGGAGAGGAGGAGTCAGGGAGGAGAGGAGAGGAGGAGTCAAGGAGGAGAGGAGAGGAGGAGTCAGGGAGGAGAGGAGAGGAGGAGTCAGGGAGGAGAGGAGAGGAGGAGTCATGGAGGCGACACACAGAAGAAGACGGAGGCAAAATGAATGAAATGAAAATCTGATTTGTTTTCATGATTCAGTGAATGTGAGCAGATATTAAACCATCTGACCAAAACATTTCATAACCACAGAATTCAAAACAGAAGAAGCGCTGAACAAAGTCAAATGTCATGAAATGTCATTCGGACACCCAGATGTAGATACTCGCTCTACAACATCAGGAGAACACGTCCTCTTCTCACCCAGAAGGAGGAACTGATTCAGGCTCTTGTCGTCTCCCTCCTGGACTACTGTAACTCTCTCCTGCAGGTCTCCTGCTACCACCATTCCACCTGAATGGATGGGGTCCAGCTTCCATCCAGGACCTGGTCCAACCCGACATCCCGACCCGCACTCTCCGCTCTGCATGTGATAAACTGCTTGTTCCTCCTCACTGAGAGCAAAACACTCGACTAGATCTCCACTCTTTGCTGTCCTGCTCCTAAATGGTGGAAGGAGGTCTCTGAAGACATCAGGACCACAGAGAGCCTTCACATCTTCAGACTAAAGACACACCTCTTCAGACTCTACCTCCACTAACACACTAACTAACTGCAGCACTTACATTGGACTTATAATGGTTCTTATCTACAGCGAGTTGTACATCGGCTTATTTTATGAAATTGCACTTTCTTGTTTCTTGTTCTTCTGAGTTTGTGTCCTTATGGTTGAAATGTTCTTATTGTAAGTCGCTTTGGATAAAAGCGTCAGATAAATGACATGTGATGTCTGTCTGTCTGTATTTACTCGTTTTAGATTTGCGTCATCAATCAATGCTATTGGTCAAATATTCACTTTTATCAATGATTTAAATCATTCATTCTAGTTTCTGACCATTTAATATCACTATTTGTGGAACGAGCCTCTGTAGAAACAACCGTACCTGAAGTAACACAAGCCCTCTGTGGTTTGTGACGGATAAACTACAGCACGCAGACGCTCCTCCGGCCGATGCTACAGACACTCCGTTCGGTTGTGTCGCTTTGTGGAGAGCTGCGTGCTCCAATGTCAAAGAGTGACCTTCAGCAATGCAGGGAGGAAGAGAGAGGGGGGGGGGAGGGAGGGGGAGAGAATCCCCTCCTCCTCTGCGTGGAAGACGGAGCTCAGAGGGACTGAGCCCGAAATATCCTCAACACGTCCGCTGTCAGGGGTTCAGCCTCTGGAGACCCTGCGCCAGCATTGTTTCAACTCAGTTGCCCTTTTTTTCCTTCAGCGGCTGCAGATACGAAGCTGCTCGCTGAAAGGACGCGGCGTGCAGGCGAGAGGAAGAACAGGCCGCCTTCATCTGCATGTTCATAACTCACAGCCGGCCCACATTCTATCGCTTCTATCCACTTCAGGTTCTACTGCAGAACCGCATCACGTGTGTTTAGTCAGGTGAAGGACAAATGTCCTGGTTGGCTTTAAAAGAAGTACGTACAGGTAGCTGCAGGCCGCTAACCAGTTAGCTCTCATAAGCTATATGAGCGGCCTGTGGAGGAGGGAGGAGCCTCAGAGACAGAAGACGCCCATTTTTAGCTCAGGTGGTCATGTGGAGGATTTCTTGCTTTTCATTGGTTCTCTGAGTTTCCATGTTGGAGTTGAAATGGAACTAATATCACTTCAACTATTATTATCTTTTTCTATTTGTTTCATGTCATCATTCCACTGTAAAAAAATTACTAATATAACATGTGAAACTTTATACTTCAACATCATATTTGGACACTACTTCATCAAAGTAATAATTCATTTACCTGACACTATGAAGCATCTTTAAAAGAGCAACTTAAAATATATAAATTAAAGATTGTGTTACGCATTTAAAGGATTTATTGAAGTAGCTAATTAAAAATCGAATTCATTTATTGTCAAGTTGCTTCTTAAATGTTCCATTAAAAAACAAACATGTTTCAGCGTTAACGAGGCATCATTTCCCTTTTTAAATGATCATTCAGATCTTCTGCTTTCAGCTCTGATTATTAAGGAAGAACATCTGGAGCTTCTCCCCCGATGTCACTCGCCGCTTTATTTGTTTCAGGTGCTGTTTGGACCGGACGTCATTTTCTTGCCTGTGGCGGATTCGATCTCAGACTCTTTGTGGCAATTAAATGCCGACGGCGTCCCTGCGGATTCATTAGCCGTCGCATAAATATTGATTTACCGTCTATTAAGCATTTATAAATCCCTAAATGAATAAATATCAA